TTCTCTCAGCGTCTGTTATCTTTTGGAAACGTTGATTACATAACCTTATCATTAACCCAAAGTGGCACAAATTTAACTTGACTTTTGTGAATTCCAAATTATCTCCCACTAATGAAGAAATGAGATAAATTACCGTTTAGAATTTTCCCTAAAGTTTCCCAGAAATATGAATAATATGTAATTCTATAAAAGCAATTAGCAACGTAACGGTAAAGTTTTCTTCGTATAATCTGATGTTTTCTAAGGTGTCCATCTTATTTTCATTAACCCCAGACAAAACAATCACATACATGTTGCAACTGTAGGTAAGCTATTTTTATAGTTGGCCCATTATTCCTGGTCCCGGCCATTTTCATTGTCTAAATTTTAAATCGGGGTAGGAATCAGGATACTGGTTATTACCAAATATCACGTACAAGTTGCAAGTTACTTTAGTATACTGGTTATTACCAAATATCACGTACATGTTGCAAGTTACTTCAGGTAAGTTAATTTAGGTAACTTGCCTCTTGAGCACAACAGTAAATAACTTGACTCGTTAAATTAACAACGAATTAATTAATCTCAAATCGACCAGAAAATACAAGAAATATTATCCCATCTACTCTACGGTTCCAACAGTTACCACGGAAAGCGATCCGTTTTGATTTAAACACTGCATGTAAAATTTAAAATGAGAGATTTTTGCAATGAAATCCTGTGAAGGGAGTTTTAAAAAACAATATCAGCCCAAATCAGCTTCCTTTAAACATGAATTACTATAGTGGTAAATGCGTCATCCATGGAGATTAGAATGTAAAGGGGCTAGTAAAAATGTAAGATATGGCTAGTAAAAGGTCCTTTAGATAAAATGTAATTTCATTACGTAATAGCACTGATTGTCCACAAGTTGTTACAATGGTTGATGACTGATCTGAACTCTTGTCAGAATAACCCCGAATATAATCCCGATATATAACAAGTGCTATCTTAATTGCTGATTATTTCGAGCACGACCCAGGTCGACAATATTAACAGTAATTGGAGTTAGCGACATTATAACTACTTTGATACTGCCCGATCTGTAAACACTCTAACTCAACTGTTAGAAGTACTGAAAGAGCTTGAACAAAGGGTAGGCCTTTGGGATTAGAGCTGGCCTTTAGCCCTTACATGGAACCGAAATGTAACTTAACAAGCTAATTATTCGTTAGAATTAAGTAAAACTTACGGTTATTACAATCCATAGTGTTACAATTTCCGATGTAAAAAGAGATGGTATAAAATTCAACTGCCATTTACTTTTGTAAATATCACTGGTTTCTGTACCTGAAGTAATTTTACATGTTGCAAGATTGTTATTAAATGTTGTTCTGTACATGCAACACAACCCTTCAAGATTGACATCGTGTGCCAAATCAACTCCCAACCCCACGTGACACGTGACACATTGCCTTACGATATAGAGACGTTGTTGCACAATCAATACTTAAGTGCTGAGCTTACAGGGTCCCAGCCCATTTATACCCATATCGAGCACAGCCATGGATGAATCATTTTCTGAAAGATGTCATACATTGTAATGGTTGAGACCAAGACACATCACCGCATGAATCCTTACGCTCCTACCACTCTCCCTCTCTATCACTATCACTATCACTATCTCTATCTCTCTCTCTATCACTATCTCTCTCCCTCTCTCTATCTCTCTCCCTCTCTATATATCTCTCCCTCTCTCTATCTCTCTCTCTCTTTCTCTCTCTCTCTCTCTCTCTCTCTCTCTCTCTCTCTCTCTCTCTCTCTCTCTCTCTCTCTCTCTATCTCTCTCTCTCTATCTCTCTATCTCTCTCTCTCTCTCTCTCTCTCTCTCTCTCTCTCTCTCTCTCTCTCTCTCTCTCTCTCTCTTTCTTACCTTATACCGGCATGCTATATATATACCGTGTATTGTGCAATGCAGCAGCCACCACTAGGCACTAAGTAAATACGTCACCGCTTGTAGGCGGTGGGTGTTGCGCATAAAGGTTCAGCGATCACCGGCACACCCCATCAGTTGGAATCTGTTCTGCACTCTATCGTGTTTATCTTGTGGGGTGGACCCTTGATTATGATTTATATTTGGGGTGTGTTTATTTTTAGAGGTATGTGTTCTATATCGGAAGTTTGTTTATATCGTGGGACTCTATTAATACTTTGTATTTTAGCTTTGTTTATCTTTTCAGACCTTGATCTCACTTTATATTTAGACTTTTTATTTTTAGGGGTCTTGATCACACTTTCTATTCAAAGAATTTTTTGGGACTTTTTCACACTTTCTATTTAAATTATCCTAATTTTGTGTTATAGTACCCTGATTATAATATACATCTAGACTCTTTTCAGGGTAATTGTTTTTGTCTTATTTTTTAACTTTTGGACCCTAAAAACTTTCTAATTGAAGTCTGTTCTACATCACTATTTTCTAGGCGGTCTTTGAACTCTTTGTCGGTATCGTTGTGCATTATCCGATCATGTTACCAGTAAGGTGATAAGAGTTAATGTCGGACTTTTCTTCCTTCTTTTTGGATCAGTTTTTTTATATATTTGACCCAAAATTCCCGGTCCCGGCCACTTTCATTGTCCTAATTGGATCCTGGTCATTATCCGGATAGGAATTTGTGTGCGTTGTGTACTCTATTTTAGTTTACAATGATTTTGTTATGACTGTCTTAAAACTTTCGCAATAAAACGACCTTTACCCAGCTTCAATATTAAATCATAATAAATAGGTTGGCTGGCTGTTAGTTGTGGGCCGGCACAAGGTTTGCAGTTTTCAAACATTCCTATAAAATAGCCCGTAGTTTCATGTTATCATATTTCATGATCAATCTTAAAGTTGGATATAAAATAAAATGGTAACGTCTTGAAAACTCTGTGCGGTTCAGAGATTACTTATAATAAACCCAACAAAGATGTACATTTAAGTCATTCAAGCGGGACTTCTGCTACTTATTCTATGTTGTTTTCGACGTTCCAGACTTTCCAGACTTTCTTCTTCCTAATAAATTAATTTTGGTGCTGCAGTTATGTTTTAGTTTTATGTTACTGTGCTTCATTGTCAAATTACTTGAAAGCACACGATACAAGTCATTTTCCCTCTTAATTCTTAAGTGAATATTTTTGGGATAAATGATAAACAGACCCCCTTTGGAAGGTCCAAACAGCTGTTTTTTAATTTTTTTGAACATGTTCTTCTGAACAATTCGATTTCGAGGAGACGTAAATGACCTGCAAATTTTCCACATGTTAAATTTTTTTTTCCAGTTCAGGAATTAAGAGTTCTGAGCTGCAGCGATGGCCATTTTTCTACCAGTGTTTGGAAATTAAAATTACGACTTAATTTGATAGTAAAAAATCTAAAATTTTAAACTGGAAAAATCAGTTTTACAACAGAAAATTCAAATTCTTTGTTAAATAGTAATGCCCCTTCTCACGGCTAGAACTTTTGGTCGCGGCATGATTCTGGGTGCCGGTAAAAATGAGATCCCGGTTGACCTTTGGTCCCCAGCCTAACACTTTTAAAGATTCCCTCAGACACTTCTTCAGCACTTCAAATGGATAAGTCCCAGATTTCGGGGCCGGTTCTTGCCACATTTAATTTTAATTTGTTCCCTAATAATCCTGGCTAAATTGAAATGAGACGACTCTCGATTATTCTGGAAGTTCGTTTAAAGATTAAACTAGCTCGCCTTGTTAGTGCCGTTATGTTATTTAAATATATATTTAATATCAGATAAAGTGGCGGGACAGTTTCTATAGGCACATGTAACAGCATTAAGGTATTACCCGATCATTTTTGCTCTATGAACCTTCCGATTATCACGTTTAATATAACTCTAATCTGAGCTCCCGTATCCCCAATTTTCAGCCGGATACATATACCTGAAGTAATATAAAAACATCATTCGTCCTAATTGGATCACGTATATGTAATTGTATGAAGGCGTATCATTATCAATAGGGTCACAGTCGAGTTGCTTTGTGATAAAATGTGGCATTCTTTTTGTCCCTGGTCTTCTTTGTTTATCTTTGACCCGATTGATATAATTTTGATGCATATATTTTATTGATAGCATTTCAATTTCATCCTTCGTTGAACTTCAATAATATTTATTGATTGACTACGCGATTAAATATTTTTCCTTTTTAACCACTTAAAATAAGTTGCCTAGTCACGTGACGCAACTACCAGATACGACACTAATTTAGTGGTAATAATAAACGCATGTCCGAATCGCCCATCATGATGTCAAAGACGTTCAACAACGCACACTTACCTTATACGCCGTTAGATACATAATAATCGACAAGTTTTCATGTCTACGTGACGAACATGAACCATCAATGGCACCTTATATGTCAGTTTATTGTATATTATTAATGATATCTCGAAAATGAACTTTACGTGTGACGACATGGCATGAACGGGTGTGACTCCTGTTTTGTAGGCGTAACGTTCCCTGAAAACCTCTATATTCTGTTTATATTATTATTATAATAAACTTATATAAACCCCCATAAGCGGGTATCTCCCCACTTTCTGTGTCATCGCTGTCTCAAAAGGCTGTTCATTTAGAAATATCCCGATTTTGCTACCACCGTTTTTCTGTTTGCCTACTTTTCAGTTTAAATGTGGTACCTTATTTCACGTGTTCACTGTTCATACAGTACTCCAAGCAAATGGTCATTGTGTCACTATGTGTTTTTATTTGTTGTCATTATTGTGTGAAATTTTGTGGACGGTTTAGTTGTTCAGTGCTGATGGTATTAGTCGCATTCCCTAGACAATCCAGGTAGAATCACAAGACAGCTGCATACCATGTACACGTAAAACGGCTGGTAGCAGGGTAATCCACTATGAAACCTCACTAGTGGTGGCGTTTGACACCTTGATGTAGAAGTAGAACAACTAGTGTATATCCTCGTGTTGTTTAATTGTTTGTTAAAACAGTATTTAATACTTTCGGCACTAGTAATGTAACAAATAATTTGAGGTTCATAATAATAACCCCAGTTGATATGCCGTTTTATTTTTGTACAGCTGTCTTTGTTTTGTTTTGTTTTTAAATCCTACAATCACAATAACACTAAAAACACTAAAACTGTTGTTTTATATACTCTAACTAATGTTCTTATAATAGGTACCAAAAAAACTCCGGTTTTTCCAAAACTGACACTTAACTATTAAACATTTTTACAAGAGTGCAGGTGCCACTAAAACTACAATAATCCCAAAATTTGCGCATTTATTTTCAGTATTTCCATAATAGATGCCTCTAAAGTCTGAATCCTAACTTACTTCATACCCACCACTCACCTACATCTACTGCAGGGTGTTGTATTTCACTAAACTTACCCTTCATAATTGAGAACGTGCGTGGGGTACGTGTCACCTCGTACGTGGGGTACGTGCCACCTCGGTCCACTGCACTTTTAACAAACCAGAAACAGTATAATCTATTGAGCACTCTCTCGAGCAGTAAAACGGACATTTTTGTAAAGAACCGGTTTACCTCCCTGCATACCGAAACACGACCACGGTATATTAAATTATTTATTAATTTACAAAAAGTGTTGAAAGTATGAAAACGAGAGAGAGACAGTCCACTAAAAAAACCGTCAACAAAGTGAGAATCTCCACACCAACACCCCGCATAGTCACCTGGTCTCAAGTACGTGTTGACATTGTAGTGGTACCCAGCCCTCAAATACTATACATACCAATCAGGTGAAATGTTTTTAACGACAGTTTTACATTTCAAATTCCCGCCTACGTCACCCTCCTCATATATACGTATACACAACAAAACTAGGCTGAAGAGTTAGTTATAATGTGACTAGTTCACGGCAACCGCGGAGTAGCAACGTTGTGACGTACTTGTTCTTGGTTTGACATTTGGGAGTGGTTTGAGTGATCTCTGACTGTTGTTTCCTTAAAAGGAGCCCGTCTCACTGTTCATTGTCGGCGTAGCTTGCTCTGTACTTCTATTTTGTATCGAACCATATTAGCGTACCTTTAGTTCATGATTACCATTTGGCAATGCTGACGTCATGTAGGATGGTTGAGGTGAACCCTGCCCCTTTATGGTGATTCTTAGTTTCAATCCGACACTAAAGCTATTAGAGTCATGTTCATTTTCTAGATACACCAGCTGATATGTTGCTTCTAATCTTTGTTTTTTGACTTTGAATATTTGCTAGCTGATATCCTCTTATCTTTACCCAACAGCGACAACAATCTCCTAAACAAACAAATCAAAAATTCGACTAAATTATTTTCTAATAAAATTGTTTGTTATGACATCTCTGTAACCATATTTGCGAACACGGTATTCATGATGACTGTTTGGCAGTGTTGACGTCATGTTTCGGGTGGTAGCTGTTTACTGTTTAGTGTTTACCCTTTCCCCTATATGGCGCCTTCTAATTCAACTCGTCATATTTCAAGGTCTCACTTCAAGTTTCTAGTTGCTGGTCTGTTCTACGCATACGGCTTTGCTTCAGTCACCGTTTTTTAACATGGAATATTTGCTAGCTAATGTCCGTTTATCTTTACCAATCAACAGCCACCAAACGAACAAAACAGATCTTCGAATAAGGATTTTTTTCCATTTTTGTTTGGCAATTTTGTTTTGTTTGTTTTTGTTTGTTTTTGTTCTCGCTATTTTCGAGTTTATATACGTTCACATGAGTCAAAATATGATATTCTTCATAAAGCCCCCAAAAGATCTTACAATTTACCGTAACACTGTGAGCCATGGACCAATTGAACTTCAAACAAATTCTAAAAATAGACCTTTACTTTTTCTTATCAAACTATTGGAAATTTTCTTGCGGTGCCTTCATTACACCTAAGTCAAGATATAATATCCCAATTTCTTAAAGGAAAATTCATAGCTTATACTATATTACCAAAGGAATTGACTTTAAATACGTCAGGTTCAAAGGAGTACATGACAACTTTATATCACTAAGATGTTAAACTGTAATGGGAAATATGACATGCCATCAGCCCGTACATACCCTCGCATATAACTCCCTTTTGTTGCGCTTTTGATCTTTTTGAGTACGTCGCGCCCTTCAAATAGCTTCAGAATCCCGACTATGATTAACGTGATGTGAATTAAGGGTGCATATGTAACTTAAGGCCCGTGTAGGCCTTACACTGTGCTTTCAGCAATACTCTTAAGTATGTTTCCATGAAACTAGAAATGTTTGTAACTATTTATTTGCTGTGCCGATATGAGTATTAGAAGTAAGGGTACATCATGGTAAAACAAGTATTCAACTTGCCGGAATTTAGTTAGTTAAACAGCTTGTAAGTTGGCCGAATGGGCGTGTTCCGGTGAAGCTTCAAAGCCGGCCTTGTCAATTAGCCCGGTATACAATGCCCATATTTGGTGCTCCTGTTGTATAGTTGGTAGTGTTATACGAATGTGTACTGTTGAGATGTGTCGATACAATTACTGCGATACTCGAGCTGCGTTTAACATTGTCTATTTTGATAAGTATCTCGAATTATTCTAAAAACCTATGAAAAGTAGAAAATCGTATACCCAATGGAATATTCTCTTGTCGCAGACATTATTCATATTGACGTTAAGATTTCAGTTGTAAATTCTAATGGTCAATGATTGGGTAGGACCTCTCTTTACAAGGCAACCAATCACCAGCTTACAATTTTCGCAAGAGCAAACATTTACGTCAACGGTTATATTGTTAACGGTAAACCCTCATTTACTGTTCAGTAAAGTATAATAATCAGTAAACTGTATCGCTTTGGCTTTTCACACTTCTAAAGCATTGAGATCTGAATATTTAGTTACTTCATTTAATTCATTCTGATCCTCGGTCTACTAACAACCTTATAAATTATATGATATGATAAACGAAAGGTTACAATAAATAGACTTCGACTCTACTTATGCATGATTCCCATCTTTACTCTTTGTGTGTCTGACACTTTATTTCACTATTCTAGAAGTTCATTATTAAAATATTGATTTTATTTCGTGATCTGTTGCTCTAATTCTGAATATGTAAGTCTTGGAACTTAAAGATAAATCCTTCATTAACGAATAATATTATCCGTCACTTTTATTTCAACTCCATTTATGTATCCTTCAGATGTGAATATTCCAAAAAGCAAATGCTCGAATAATGTCATTTGTAATTTTCATAGTCCTAAAATCCGAATATTCAAGTATTTATAAGCTACGTTTGAGATGAGATTATGAATGCATCATAGATTAAGAATTTCCATTAACAAGGCACCCTTTAATGAACATTGTGACCGGTGTTCATCCAGAGTCTATCTTTAAACATTTAAAAATTGAACCCACGTACCCGTTTATTGCGCTTCTAGGTCTCCAACAAACGTCTCCTCCTATATTTGATCTTCAAAGCTTGCTGATTCCAGACATTTTTGCTGATAAACGGATAGCCACGTTCTCTTAAAACTCCTTCGAATTCACCACAATTTCATGTCCTATCGTATAGCCCTAGCAGAATATATTATATATATTATATATAAATATATAAGCTGTCAGAAATGTTCTGTCTTAATCCGCTTCCTCGCGGTGCATTCACAACGAATAGCTCACTGTCATGTATTTCATGTCCACTTCCACCTACTCTCGAAATGAACAAACCACAACGGTTTAAAAGTTACGAGTAGCAGCTCGTTAGGACCAGGAGTTTGTCCGGAACTCGGTCTGAAGTCCCTGTGGTTTTTTCTCTCTCTCTCTCTCTCTCTCTCTCTCTCTCTCTCTCTCTCTCTCTCTCTCTCTCTCTCTCTCTCTCTCTCTCTCTCTCTCACCCTCTCTCTCTCACCCTCTCTCTCTCTCTCTCTCTCTCTCTCTCTCTCTCTCTCTCTCTCTCTCTCTCTCTCTCTCTCTCTCTCTCTCTCTCTCTCTCTCTCTCTCTCACCCTCTCTCTCTCTCTCTCCTTCTATCATGTTTTGTTCAGGATGCGGCTTCTTTATTGTGTTTGTTTTGCTTCTTTATTGTGTTTGTTTTGCTTCACGTCAAGGTGTTTACAAGTTTCCAGTAAAGGTGTTGTCTCCATTTAATGTTCCACTTCCACTTCCGCTCCCTTCACCGTATCACTTCCTCGTATCCCCAATTATCAGGGCATGTAAACGATTCGCCACAAGCAGTGCTTTACACGTTTAAAATCCCGACTTTCACACCTGAAAGTGAAGTGAAGTGGCTGAATCGCGTGTCCTGAGGCCCGGGGTGGCCCTCCGGAAACGTGAGCTTGTCGCGAAAGAGTGTCAAAGGATCAGGCAGATTGTCGGGAGTAGTGTTCGAAGCTTGTGTGCCACTTGATACTTTAATACTTGTTAGTAACCGCGTGTGTATGTGTGTTTGTGCCGTATTTTCCTCGCGGTGGTAGTAGCACCAATATAGCACCTATCACATTTGACATCGTTACCGATAAAATCATACCTATAACTCGGATTCCGTTTCAAAATTATGTTAAATATAATTATTAATTATTAGAAAATATGCTGAACTTTCCTGGTAGGACATTCACTGGGGACCTTGCTGGAGGAAGATAAATTAAGAAAATTATTAACTGCCATATTGAGTTACTCTGCCCTCTCCTGATCTACGTTTCCACGTAGGTTTTTTTAGTAGAATCCCTGTGAAATATGTCGTCCTGTACTGCACTGCTCACTTCTCTCCTGCTGGCCCTCAGCAAGGAAACCACTTTCCGGCTGTGAGACTGGATTTGATTAAGTTTCAGGTCTAATGCACGTATAAACCGGTACTGTTACCCTCAAGTTGCGTCCCACTCTCCTTGCCCCTGGTATATTTCCTGCGGATTTCACTGCACTGTTCTCATTGTTGCTCTTATTGTGCCTCGTACGTACACACCTGGTTTTACCGGATTCTTCACTGTCATTTAAACTTCGTACCCTTCACGCCACGTGGCTATAGGTACTTGTCAAAACAAAGTCACTTTTTATTACATTTCAAGGATCTCTCCTAACGTGATTTCAGCCCTTAATTCGATTTTGAGCCCTCATGAGCGCTCATCAGCTGTTAAAATGTAACAATACGCCCCCTTCCAAGACACATCTCAACCTGCTCCCACCATTTTCCAACCACACTACCACCCGCTTAAGAACATATTCAGAGAACTTAACCCCTGCTTGTTTTCTCAGACCGACATGTCTCACTACTTAGTAACACTGACACCGAATAGAAGGGTGGCGTCATAACAGCCCTCAACCGCGTCAGAAACAGCAAAAACCCAACTTCCTCCCCCTTTTCTTTAATTCTCCACAAGCACGGCACAGATCACCGGCCCAGCTCGGTTAAAATCATCTCCATCACGCCAGATACCAGATCTCCAGGATCCGGCTTACATTTAGTCACCTCCAATCTTCACCAACTCCCGGACAACTCCCGGACAATATTTACTCTTGTTCCGTCTCATTTCCGGGCCGGAACCACGCTATAAAAGCTGGTCGGTTAAGTTCCTGCTCTTGTGTACCACTTACCGGATCACGCCGCCTTGTGTCTAGTTTTTAGAAGGTCCCAGCCAACCTCCCCCACTCTTATTCCCTTCCGACAAGATCCGGCAGGTTCGGATCCTGTCTAGTTGGTATACAGTGAGTCTTGTGAAACGGCGATCGAGCGGCGGAATAAGCAAATAGAGGATTTTTAGAATTATGTTCTTGTGAAGATTCGGGTCATTGCCGTTCGCTCTATATTATTCTCCCTAACTTTGTAGTTAGTTCTCCCTAACTGTACGTGGTAAATATGTCCCAGATTTCCCGGAGTCCCGGCCTTCTTTGGCTGGGCTTCACTGCGATCGTGATTTTGTCACCTAGTTGACCTCCATTCTTCAGGGCACGTTTCAAGTTTCCATCTCGTTGTCTCTCTTTCTCTCTCTCTCTCTCTCTCTCTCTCTCTCTCTCTCTCTCTCTCTGTAAGCAGCACAACGTAACAAACAAATTAGATCCAGATAATATGCGCTGATCATAGATAACACACTAGGAATTTTAGTGTGTTGCAGTGTCCTTCATTACTCCATCATATCGGTACAGCGTGCCCACTTAATTTACTCACACATTTTACTTAGTCACTGACTAACGAAATGTTTGTATAAGAGATACGCTTATTCTCAGATATTTCAGAAGAAAGGGACCCAGTCTAAAGCTCCAACATATTCTAATATTCAACGTTTTGAGGCATATTTAACGACTTTATCCCGCTGGCCCCCGCGACACGCGTATATTCAATCTCGATAAGTGTCATTTCTTTTTTTCGCCCTCCCGTACATTCTCGACTTGACTCTTCTGACTTTTCTTTATTATTTTTTCTTCCTTTATTTCGAGTTAATTTCTTCTTCAGCTAATAGTTTGTCGCCTTTTGTTTGTTTACGGTGTACTTTATATTTATTGACAGATTACCTAGTCGTGTGTTTATAATGCTTAAAATGTAATTTAGTGACAAACTATTCAGCTTTAAATCTTTAATCCTATTTTCTCAAGCGTTTCTTCAAGAGTTCTCTCTTTTTAAATCTGTCAAGCTTTTCCTGGTCTATTTATAAGAGGGCACTATTTATACGACCACTAATCAAGTGAACAAGTTACACATTATTTCTTATTAGTTACTACACTCGACAAGTTAAGTGACAGGTTAAGAAGAGAATAGTTAAGGAGTAAAGTAGCTGCGAGTTTAGTAGTGAATAAGTTTTCTAATATATGAATCAACGGCATGCCCCGTAAAAAACTTGAGTAGTCAAATGGTTTTAAGAATGAAGTTTCCCAGGCTTTAATTTAGCGGTTCAAATCAACTATGGGGTTATTATATATTTGACCAGAAGTCAATTAAGGCGTAGCCAGGATTTAAAATGCGATAATTTCCGTTTAATGACATCTTTATTTTGTGTCCACATAAGGCACTACACCGGTATCTATCACAAAGCATGTAATTATATTTCATTCGCTTAAATTACCCAGTAGTAGGATCCTCTTTTGCTTGTTTTATTTTAGAGTTGTTTATTAAATTACTGGAAAACATTGCGAAATATTCCATTTTACTTGTCGTTTTAATTATATTTTGTTCACTTTAATAAAATTTTGGGATAACTTTAAACCAGTCTCTATCTGTAACATTCGATAGTATAATCAATTTTAAATAACATTTAAATATAATCTCCTTCTCTCTTCGCCATCTTAAATCCAAATATCCGTCCTGGATCCTTGGATATAGTGTTAACAACGTTAACACTATATATTCCTCCCAACTGCAGTGACTATCTTTTCTGTTACACGCCGTGATAGCATTAAAAACACGTTTTGGACTAGTGACATTTTTCTAATTTTTCCCTGTCCCACACAATTTTACGTTTATTTAACCTGGCACAGATTCATTGATAATCTTGGTGGTACCCCGTGAATCAAGCTATAGATCTCGCTTGACTTGCAATCACGCAATGTATCCCTTATCGCATGATATTTTACTCCGAGATAACCAAAGTCGGTGGTTATCTCACCCAATCCCAAGCTAAAAACCACCCCACTTGACCCGTCCTCTCTCAATCAGACCCTCTAATCTAGCCATATCTCCTCTTTGGGATACAACTTCAAAATTAAAGTTATCATAAATCTCGGTGTAGGTCGAGTTCCGAGTGTTCCGTGTTGACTTGGCGCCCCGGGATTGTAGACACAGTAATTTACCTGGACCTGATATAAATGTTGAAGTATATATTCCGAGCATGAAAGCGGACCAAGGAATGGATTTAAAGAGTAATCCGATTATAGTACAATAGGATATTTAAGGAATATTAGATTAATAAACGCCCGTCCGAATCTCGCATCTCACAGATGTACAAATATATAACGAACATAATTTGAATCTGGTCAATCCCGGCTATTCCGGCCCTGTTCGGTACTTTGTAAAGGGTGTAAACTGTAAAGGCTAAAAGCACTCTAATTCCACGGGGGGACCCTGTAAATCTTTCTCTGATTGTGTAGGTCTTCTACTGTGAAATTAAATAATGTTCCGAGTCTAACCTGTGAATTTTCCCGAATGTAGCAGTAAGTTGATTGATGCACTTGCCCATGATACGATCGCCTATAATGGATGTTCCGGATCCCAACGAGATGGATATTTACTTGACCTCGAACGAGATTCGGACATCCCAACTGGATGTCTACCTAGGAAACCTGGACATCCAGCATATATGTCCTACGATTACACTTAACTTGGAGGAACACATTAAGAAGGAGATAAAGGAGGAGGTGCTGGAAGAGGATTCTAATTGTTCTAGTCTAGTTTTGGAACATTCTTCAGATGATGATATGAAGGTGCCTTATGCTGCCACCTTTTTATTTCCACCCCACCAACCACCACATCATCAATCCATCATTTATCAAACTTATATATTATAACCGTATACTGGCGGTTTAAACTTTAACTACAGGAACATGAAATTAACCGCCTATTTTTCAGGGAGAACCGGTCAAGAACAAGTCGAAACCTGCCCCACTAGATCTCCCCTCGGATCCCCACTTCACCCTGACCCCACCCTACACTGGAACCCCACGCTACCTCTGGACCCCCACCAAGTCTGTTACTCTTCCTCCCTCTTCTTTCTTCTCCATGGAGCCCAAGAAGATCAGGATTGGAGATGAGTTTCAAGCTACAATCCCTGATTTGGTTACCGGACCTGGTGAGTCACGGTGTTTCATTGTAGGGTTACCCTTTCATAGGCTCATTATTAAAGGGGGGATGATATTTGGTTTATTCAATAAAATACATTTTTAAGCCACCTCTCACCCTTATATTTATAATTAGCGCTAAAGAGTATCGGCACACCACTGATAACATATTTCCTTATCGGGAAAAAATTTAACGTCAGTTTGTGGAGCCAAACTTCCGGTATCGTTCTAGAACGTTTCATTGATTTAAAATATATCATCAGCCCTGAAATAAACGGTTTTGATGACGTCAAAAAATTAAGGAACCTTATCTTTGGGTGACCAACTCGTTTCATATTTTACCGACTCGTACATTTCACCGGCCTTCAATTTCAGCTCTGGTTACAAAATACATTTGGTAAATTCCCTCGAAATCAATTAATTATTAATCCCCAATTATGTAATCAGTATCACTCAACGCGATATTCCTCAGATGACAGGAGACAGGGAGAGGGACCCATGACACCGGTTTATACCCCGCCTGCTGATGAGAAGGAAGATGATAAAAGAGAAATATTCTTCAAGCACACAATACCCGTCTACCCTGATTCTGAGTTTCTTCATCACTGCGTCCACGCTACTGGTATGTCAGCAGTTGTGTTATTTAATTATGATTTTATTGATTGGTTGATTAATTGATATAGACTACTTATGGTGGGGAGGTAAAAAATAAAACCAGCACGGCCATTGAGGGCTCAGCACAAAGTGCTAATGTTAGTTATGGCCTAAATTGTGTCAGCTCATGTAAGGAACATACTTTTTTATTTTCATTTGAGCAATTAATAAAATAATAAGTTTTTTACAAAAATAATTTAATTTTTATTTACGACTCCTCCAATAGACAAATCTATCGTTAGTTATTTATTAAATTAATATTTGTAGAATTACCGACTGTATCAAAGACAGAATTCCCATTTTTGTTTGCAGAATCCTGCAAGGTGCAAAAAAAGTATTGAAATTAGCATTAATCAGCTTTTATTTTGTCCCTGAAATATACCTAAACCGGTCAACAAAGTCAAAACCGTCAAATTTGTTGACCGTTCATCCCCTTCACAATCTATTCCCGTGTGAATCAATCAAAGTGGTCGAGACAGGCTCTCAGCCATGCTCCAACATCCATGACAGTCAATTATCCAAAATAGTGGTATGCTTCACCCAGCGTGTTGCGCAAAACCGAGCAAGTTCCATTTCTTGGAATCTATAATCTCAGTCTAACTGAGCAGAGAGATCTGCAGAGAGAATGTCCGCCCCCGCACATAATAGTGCAAACCAGTGTTTAGTTTGATGAAGGAGCAGGGAGGGTGAGACCAAACCTTTCCTCGGCCAATCAAATGTAATGGTGTGGTGCTTGGAGTAGTTACTATGGTAATTACTATGGTGATGTACTGGTTACAGTGTAGTTATATCTTATTATTAAAGCTTCTGGGAACCTCCTGTTGAGTTCCTTTTCCTCTAATATGGTCGCCGCTGGCAGATTTTATAATGTGACTTTATTGCAGGAGGAGATTTACAGGAAGCGTGCAAGTTGGCCCGCTGTCCAGTTCAACCCAAACTGTCTGCGACCCACCCTCTTCACAATTACAGGTGCGTAAAACTTACACTTTGGCTGTAAAAAGATTTATCAACAATCGTGTGTTGATGTTTATAGGTGTCTAATAAACCAATCTTACTAACGAGTCTATATGTTATATATTATGTATATGCCCCAGTATCTGTGAGCCCAGTTTCTAGTGCGGTCTTTTAATCACAGCTTGCCATGATGCTTGTTTATATGAGCTTAAAAGCACATTTTACTGCAAAAGTAATGTTAAAGGTGTTCATAAATCACAGTTTACTAACTTACTGACAATTGATTATGAACCTCAGTATGCTAACAGTTTTCGTCCCTCCAGGTACAATGGACGATATAGATGGACGCTTGATGACCAGGAAAGGTTCCTTCTTCTCTTCCAGCGATTCGGAAGGAATTTAGCCCTGGTTAGTGATTTAAATAAAATTGCAATTCTATGATTATGTTGGTGATCAGTTACTTCCTCAGTTTTCACGAATATTTTCATGGCATTATATAAAAAGTGTTATGTAGAATGTAGATACATGATTTACATGTCACTTTAATTGGATTACTTTTGTTTTAGCTAAGATTTAATTTTCATTCCAAATCTTAAAAATAAAACCTCTCTGTATAGAAGGAATCCTCTAGCCTACAGTTATAGCCTACAGCCACTTTTAGTTATCCTCCGGAATTTCCCATCTATATTTGTATTTGTCACCTAATTGCTATGAGAAAAGTAGGTTTTGTTCCTTGTTTATTGAATGGAACCAAAGGTGTCATGGCATTGTTTGTGATTTGCCACCTAACCGTTAGGTTTCACTCCATTCACAATGATTTTATGTTTATCTATTTATATTGATTGATTTCTCCCGCCAGATTGCCAAGTGGATGCCAGACAAAAAGATAGCCGATATTGTTGAGTATTACTACTTCTGGAAGGTGCGGTATCCTGATGTATACAAGCAGTGGAGAAATCAACAGAATAATTGCCGTCTATCCCAGGTCAGTCTACATTCTCTTTCACTTTCACTTGTTAATTGTTGGGTGAATTGACACGGAAATGTCATTGTTTAAAACTTACCTCAAGTTTTCCACGTCTACTCTGTTACTTCCACGTCAACTCACAAAAAGTAATTCTGAAACAAAAACATATTTTCCACTGTAAAGATTTCAATCTGTGTTTCTGTGTCGGTACTCAGTTTAATGTCTCAACCTCACAGCCCCCAACAACGACCGAGTACGATCAAAAGGTCCCGCCAACTAAACCTAACCGACGGCAGAGTCGTAAAGAGATAGTCTACTTTGAAACGGAAGCTTACACGACCCACGACGCGAAGGGAAACAAAGAGATAAAGTTCCGGCAGAAGAAGGTGGTGAACCCGTATACGGTGTCGCCCCGTCCCAGGAGCAACAAGCCCCCCAACCCTCAACCTTTGGGAAGCTACAAGTGTAAAGTCTGCGGAAAGTGAGTACCCACTTTTATTTGTTGTTTTCTTGAAATTGTTGTATTCTTTAGTTTGGTATTTGCGTCCCAGTAACTTCGGAGCTATTTTGCTGTGATGATTTGATTAAATTATGATCCTAACAATCATTGACTTGACTAATATCGTTGTTATAGGAACCTGATATTAACCTATTTTTGTCTCTCAGGGAATTCCAAAAGGTAAAGTCACGGAGCGCACATATGAAGACACACAAGCGGCAGCAGAACGCAGTAGCCCTCCTCGCCACGCCCACCCTCCTTCAGCAGCAGTACCAGCTCCATTCCCAACAACAACAACTGCACCAGCAGCTCCAGGCCCAGCTCAAGCACCTCACCCCCGACTCCCTGGCTCCGCCCGCTTCCTCCGCCCAATCTCTCGAGCTCCTCTTGTCACGTGACCCACACGACATCAGGACCACACGTGACATTACCATGACGTCACGTGACTCCATCACGGACTCCCGTGACGTCGTCATGGCTTCGCCCAACGACGGCACCAACAAGGGAAACACGTCCCAAAACAGGACAGATAATTCAGCAACATGACGTAAAGTTCTTAACTGTTTTTATTTCAGAGTTTTAACTTTTACCGGCTCGTGGGAGTCGAGCAGTTTATTTTTAGTGTTGCCGAGAATAACACACGGACAGCTACCTGCCGTACAATATTTGAATATGTTAATTAATTGAGTTGGCTGTCATTACGTCGCGGTGTCAGATCAATACGACTTTCATGCTTATTGGGTTACACTTTACCAATAGATACAACTCGATATGTTTACATAAAACATACAGTTTTGGGACCTCCACTGGGGGTATGTTATAGTTACCACGCTGGTTACTAGTAGTTACCAGACTGGTTACTAGTAGTTACTGGACTGGTTACTAGCAGTTGCCAGACTGGTTACTAGTAGTTACCAGACTGGTTACTAGTAGTTACCAGACTGGTTACTAGTAGTTACCGGACTATTCACTAGTAGTTACCGGACTGGTTACTAGTAGTTACCAGACTGGTGACTAGTAGTTACTATACTGGTGACTAGTAGTTACTAGGCTGGTTACTAGTAGTTACCAGACTGGTTACTAGTAGTTACTGGACTGGTTACTAGCAGTTGCCAGACTGGTTACTAGTAGTTACCAGACTGGTTACTAGTAGTTACCAGACTGGTGACTAGTAGTTACCAGACTGGTTACTAGTAGTTACCAGACTGGTTACTAGTAGTTACCAGACTGGTTACTGGTAGTTACCAGACTAGTTACTGGTAGTTACCAGACTGGTTACTGGTAGTTACCAGACTGGTGACTAGTAGTTACCACTCAGGCGAGTAGGATATCGGTGTCTCAACGTTAGTCAGGGATGTAAATCCAAAGGTCCGATATCAAGTACAACTCCAAGCAGTTTATTGATACAAATTTTGGCATACAATGATCGGGTTTGCATTACTGACCTCCATTCCGAGTTCAAGGTACGGTAATCAAGGAAGAGCAATGTAACTATGTGACAAATTGAGTTGCACAGTCCTACGAAATGCTATGTTTTATAGTTTTGACAAGTCACTGATATCGCTAAAAAATAGCATTTCGTAACGATTGAAATGGTAAAGACCCCACGGCCATCTGTTCCGATCATCTTGATCAAGTTAACATCTGATGCCGCGATTCAAGGGTGGACATGTTGTTATGGCAAGCCTGTAACGTTGCCATGGCAACATCAGATAATGTGTTGGTATTTGTAGAATTGTTTCCGATGATCAATCTTTAATTAATTTTTGGTTATAATAATTTATTTAAATCTAATACCGTTTTAAATGCCGTAAAATCTTGCAACAAGACCCCTACTTCTAAAAGGGAACGAAAAATTTAAAACGTTTTAATAATGTTGTGAACAGTATAATGAACGGGTGATTATTATTCTCTCAGTTCGGCAGAATCAGCTTTTTATGAAGCACCGTGGTAGCATGGTACTGAGCAAGCACTTTGTCACCATGGTGACACATTCAAGCACTTTTGACCAAGGTGATGTGCATTAAGCACCGTGTTACTGTTTACATGGTGACGAAAGCACCGTGTCACCTTGGTGATACGTCGGTACCGTGTTACCGGTGAGATTACATCAGCATGGGGAGTTGAAAGTATGAGAGCCGCGTGAAGGTGGATTGGACCGCGGGAAACTCTTTAATCCAATCTTTCAATCACTTTCAATTATATGATCCTTTGATTTATCCAGAATATGTTGCACAATTTCAGTAACCGAAACTGGTTGCCCATCATGGTAACCGTGTTTTCCAATAATTTTACTGACAGTTAAATGTAAAATTGAGTTTAAAATATTAATTTTATCGTGTGCTGGTTTATGAATAATATTGGATATGAATATCGATTAGAAATTAAAGCCCGGACGCTCTATTAATGCCACTTTGAGGGAACATAAAGTGTAACCTGAAGTGTTACATAAAGTGTAACCTGAAGTGTAACATTAAGTGTAACCTGAAGTGGTGTGGTGGGTTAAAGTAATTAATAGTCATTCGAGGTTCATTTACGACTTTTTTCAGCGAACATTGAATTCTCATTTGCGAACCGTATATATTTTGTTTTTTCACTTTTCAGAAGAGTTAAGATTTAGATCAGTGCGGCAGAAGACCGTTACCTGAGAGGCGTGGCTTTGATTTTTAAAGTTATAGATTTTAAATGCCGACAGTTAAAATTAATAATAACGAATTGAAAATTTTAGTGTTTGTCTTATAAATATGAGTTGTAACAAAATGTTAATAATTTTAAAAATTCCATGGCTCACATTCAAATACTGGTTTTATTTTATTAACATAACTCCGCATAATTTATAATTATACTGTTAAACTTCAACCAATTTGTGGATTTCCTCACTACAAGTACAATAATTAGTTACCAGTTACCAGGGATCGGGAAAGTTTGTCTCCTAAGGTGACTCTAATTAGTAATCTCTATCTAAAGTATTACCACGATCTAAAGTATTACCACGATCTCGATCAACCGAATGCAGAATGGATGGGCCACGAACAAAGCAAACGGTAGTGGTTAGCCCAGACAAAATCTATCAAATTAAAAATTAAAGTCTTGTAACGAAAACTATTTGGTTGATCGTTGTAAGTCTCCCACGGGCGGGGTTTCTCTTCATAAAGGTATGTACCCGCATATTAAATTTGAGCTGACCGCAACAATACAAATTAAAAATTAGTCCATTCGCAGATCATGTGTCAACCGCAAATCAGTTAGAAAATTAAATCTTTCTTTGAGCGATGTGTTCATCCAAAACACGAAGTATGAATTCATGTTTGTCCATAATTGTTAGTGCCCATTGCGCACTACTTCGGAGCACTTTAAGTTTACTCATTACTTGCCTCGGGCACTACTTCGAAGAAATTTAGACGAGTAACATCCGTCAAATTCATGTATACCGTGTAATTGATTCACGATGTCAATCCTTGGCCTTCGCAGCTCAGCGAGGCCCAGTGGTACATCTCGCCGATCTACTGAGTTGTGAGAAGCATTATTTGATGCGCGGCCCAGTACACAGTAGTACATCGCGCTACAATGTACAAACCGTGAACCGTATAACTATAATTATAAAGAGAAATAAAATCGAATGAAAATACAAATTACTGTTTTATAAAATACTTTACTTAATACTTATACTTAACTTTATTTATTGACGCATGCATGATGCCGATGGTAACGAGGCCACGTGACTTTGCAGACTTATCAAAGTTAAAAAACTAATAGTAATATTAATATATTTCCTTACAGTTACACAGAGCGGTTCAAACTGCAATTCACAATTTTAATTTTACCGTCTACCCGCAAAGTGAAAGTACGCGCACTTCACACTTGCGCAGGGAAAGTTAGCAAGCCTGTTCGAAATTGATCAAGATAAATACATATTATATGCAAAACTACAAACTACCCAACTTTACTGGGCGGCGCTCAGCCTGTCATTCGGCCTAATTTCTATACGGATTGATTCGGATTCATTTGGATTGATTGATTCGGATTGATTGATTCGGATGATTATGAACATAAATATAATAGCATGAGGTCCCCAGGTAAACCCAACTTGGTAGTCAAACGCATTGTTTACCTGAAACACCATTCTTAGGGGATGATGATTAATCACTCTACACTCGACTGTCACGTGACTTTTTCAACCCCTTCTCTAGCTGGTCCTGAACGACTATTCGAAACCCTAACCCTCTAATCTGATCCCAACCCTAACCCTAACCCAATCCTTAACAACGATGTCAATCCTTCGCATCTCGCCGATCATCTCGCCGAGAAGCATTATTTGATGCGCGCGCGACCCAGTAGTGCATCGCGCTACAAGCTGAAACCCTAACCCTAACTAGATCATAGATATTAGACTAACTTCCTTATACGGTCATATCACGTGATCGAAACAGTTTTTCGACAATATCTCGTTAGGGGAGCATTTTAACCCCATGTCATGGGGGTGATTCGGAATCAGCGTCCGAAAATACATCGATCGAAGTTGGTTTTAACTGTCGGGGGCCCTTTTTGAACAATCTCGAAGATCTACTGTAGAGTGATTTTTGATTCACGATGTCAATCCTTCGCAGCTCGGTGAGGCACAGTGGTGCATCTTGCCGATCTACCGAAGGTTGCGAGAAGCATTATTATTGCGCGCGCGACCCAGTAGTGCATCGCGCTACAAAGTGATTTAGCACGCTCGATTCTCAATTCTTAGGCTGATATTGACTTGACCATTGTTAATGATCTGGCCCGGCGCGCGCTACTTCGTTGCTCGTGCCATCGGGCCAACATTTCGAGAAGAAAGCGGCGCGCGCTACTTCGAAGAAATTTAGACGAGTAACATCCGTCAAATATTGACGGATGTTACTCGTCTAAATTTTTTGTCATACGTTGTATGACCCGCCTGTATCGTAGAAACTCTATAGTGAAGCGACAGTGGGGGTCACCACGTGATACAATAAATTTCTTCGAAGTAGCGCGCACCGCTTTCTTCTCGAAATTGCCCGATGGCAAGTGCTACGAAGTAGCGCGCGCCGGGCCAGACCATTAACAATGGTCAAAGGCTGATACTCTAGTCTTAATTTAATTTTTTGAAGTAGCGTGCACCGCTTTCTTGTCCATTCTCGAAATATTAAAACTTTGCATTAAATGTTTTAAAAGATTTAAATCCCTTATTTTCCAAATACACAAATTTACAAGCCTGTCACCTGCGCGCGTTTGACAAAAATGGTTATTTGCTGATCATAACTCGTAAAGAAATGGTTTTTATGCTATGTAATAATAGGTCTTATTCGAAATCAGTGTAAAAATAAATTGGTATAGCTTACTTTCACAATCCCACAGCTTACTCATAAAAAACGTATAAGCATGTACACAGAAAGCTGCAATCGTTAATAATTAATTTATTCGTGCCGCATTAACTAAACAGTTAACAAATATTTGTTGTAAGTTAGCTTTTAAAATCGAGCGCTACATCTGTGATCGAATTTTCGCTGAACTGTCTTGTTTGAAGGAAAATTTTGTTTTTGTTGGCTACAACCTGTATTTTGAGGATACTGCCCTGATATTATTAGGTTATAAGGTTATTATCATCTTGCTAGTAGATCATATTTATAATAATTGAAGTAGTTTAACGGCTTAGTGGCTCAGTTGGTTAATCCTCCTGGTATTGCTTGAGGTACCAGGTTCGATTCCCGACTATGCAGCCCCCCGGTCCACTCAGCCAAATACTCGAGAAATCGGGTGCGATGGTTAAATGAGGAGCTGCCCATTGCAGCAAAGTCTCGGGCGAAGAAAGTATGGTACACATTACCTTAACCGTCACTGGCCTAATGTATAATTGAATCCTTCGGCTTCCTGTAATTGGCTGGTTACACACTTGTGTAACAATGTGGCTGTTGGAATGTCCGAAGTAAAATAAGTGTTGAGATAAAAAAATAAAAAAAAGTTAACAACCGCCCCCTTAAAGTGGGCAATAACTCTTCAATATAATTCACGTTCGTCTAACTTTTGTCCGTGTAACTGTTTGTGTTAATCGTCTGATGAGAATTGATAGATTTGAGAACTTTCATTGTGGGAGTTCCCATTTGTTGGTCGAGAATGCTCAACATAACATATATGCATTTGTGAAGCTTGACTGCTTTATTGACCCAGTCAGGTACTGAGGGTAACGCCAATGTGTCGGAATATAGTGCTATTCTGCTTAAGAATGTGTTATATCCCAGAGAAGCCCACCCCCTCCACTGCTTTAGCTATGTAGCAGCATAAGCCCGGCCCTAGTTTCCTGCCACATAAAGGATACCTCTGAAGTACTACCATTTCTAAAAAAGGAAGCCCACACTCAGCACCACCAGCGTTTAAGCTTTGAGACAAAGAAAATTACAGAAGCTTATTTAGAGAAATTTATTTGAACATACAACTAATCATTCTTTAATACTCACATGAGTACCTACAGTCAAATTAGTTGTAACAGCTGGATTAAATTCTGGTCAATGTGCTCTCTGCTTCATTTAAACTCCGTTTTAAAAGTTATATTTCATTTCATTTCATTTTAGGAATAGGATGGCTGGTACTTCAAGGTCAGGGTCCATTGCTCGTATGACATCCACTTTAACTGGTCAACGTGCTGGTAGTTTTACTGTGGAACGAGAGAAAGAGTTACAGGAGGCATTTTTCAAGGCATGCAGTGAGATTGAATGTCCACCTAAAGAAAAACATGTGCGCACAATCACCATCAGGTAAATGACAATGAAATGTGAATATTCAATCAAAGAAGATATTCTAAAATTGAAATTGTGATTATAATGATTATCTTTTTTCATTTATTTTAAGCTTTGAGTAGTTGTAAGCTTAATTTTAAGTCTCAACGATTTCCTTCATTTCATAGCACCTGGCAAGAGAGAACTGCCCAAACGTTCTGGATGATGTTACAGCGCCTTCCTTACCAGTCTAAACCAGTTGTGTGTTGGAAACTTGTTACTGTGATCCACAAGGTTGCTTTATTTATCTTTAATACCTCTAGCTTAATAGCAAGTGTTCTTGCAAGAACTTATTTTTCTGAATTGAGTGTGCGCTTCGCAAAACAGCACCACTGAATTCATTATGGATGTGTGTACCTATAAAACAAAAGATACAGGGTGGCTTAGAATTAGCTTTATGTTGACATGTCTCTTGAGAACACAGTGAAAATGTAGTTAATCCTGGGTCACCCTATTTTTATTGAACCTAATCTCAATCTTCCCATTTTCAGGTGATAGTAAATGGTCACCCAACAGTGATAAGAGAGAGTATAAAATGGGTAGATTTAGTAGAGCAGATGCGGAGACACTGGAACTACTCAGACAGCGGATACCCACTACTCATAGCTTTATATGCCAAACTTGTTAGGTATGTACACAAATATGCCATTTCAGTAGCCAGAACTCAATGGTTTCGTGTAACTGTGCATACAATATTGTCTGGAACAACTTTTTAATTTTGGTCAACAGTTCAATTGTCATTTGTGAGCCGCTTAGAATCGAACTATGAATTTTCCAACTACAAATAGTATGTTAACAGTTTACATTACCCTTCAGACAAAAGATTATCCTACACAGAAAGTGGCCTGTGTTTCCCAGTAACCTCGATGTACAAGAGAAACAGTGGAAACTACCAGAAAACGACATAAACCTTTATTTTCAGGTTTTTAGCAACGTTCACTTTTGTGAATCATCTAATGAACACCAATATTTGGTATATTTTAAATTTCATTTCAGCACTGAAATTATCAGTACAACTCAATTTAAAGAACCAAGGATCAAGGCTATTCTCTATTCGATCTTTATTTCAGTTAGCAGTAGATTGTTTTGAGTACCTAGACACTATGTTAAAGTTAGTACGGAGTGTAAAAGACGGCCTGTCCGGCACAGCCCAATTCTCTCCACAAATGATACAATGTAGACTTCACCCTTACATCTGCATTGTTCCTGAGAGCTATAATTTATACGGTTAGTTAATTGGTGAGGTAATTTGGAGCAGGCAGAACAGTGTTTACACTCTACTCCCTTTTTTTTCCTTCCCTTATTGTAATAGGCTTTAACTTGTTTTATCAATGTTGATTAACAGTTTTATTAACATTAATTAGACAGAAATCTCGTATTTTCCTCACCTGTACTAGTCACGTGTCATATCACGTGACTTGTTTGCAGGTATTAAAGTATTTATTATTATAATTTATGTTGCATATATTATTGTAGTAATCACGTGACTTTTTTGCAGGTATTATAGTACGAATAATGCAGAAACTGTACTCCTCGCTCCCTCCTGATACATTAGAAGGGCACAACTCCCGGTTTAAAGAACTTTACAGACAACTTAACAGGTAAGTTAGGGTTCGGAAATTAACTTTGTGCTCGTAATTTACACAGGGTCATGTGGTATTCTGGAGCTATTTGAATTGTTCCTATTTCGTAAAAAGTGGCTGATTATTTGAGTGACTCGAAATTACCTTAAATAAAAACAAACTGAAGCAGCTAGCTGGCCCCTTTGTACAGGTATTATACAGACTGTCAGGGTATACGCTACATAGAGGGAATGATAGGAATACCGGGGCTGGATGACCGCCCTCCTGACTTTGCCAGACACTCTACCTACACTCCTCCTCCCAGGTACCTTATTAGAGTTTATTAAAGTTGGTTAGAGTTTGTTAGAGTATATTAGAGTTTATTCGAGTTTATTAGAGTTTATTAAAGTTTGTTAGAGTTTGTTAGAGTATATTAGAGTTTATTCGAGTGTACCGTGTGGCGTGTTGTACACTATAGTACATAGTGCGAGCAGTGTGTGGTTTGTACTACACTGCACTAATTTCATTAAATATCTAACTCAGTGAAAATTTCATTTGGGTTTAACCGTCCATAATGATATTGGCGCCATTCATTAAATCTATGTTGTAAGACTAGTTGTGTTAATATTTGAATGGAAATCTCAACCAATGTCGTAATACCTCCGAACTCTAATAAAAAAGCGAACCGCTCAAAATATCGGAATATCATACATTCACTATTTCATACAATATATCTTATATCTGTATATCTATATATCTATATTCTATAATCTATATATATCGTAAATGGTCTGGTATCTGTAAGATTATTAAAATCTGCGCCCCAGCACCCACTCTGCCTTTAAACTTCATTAATTATTATTCGTTATTCAAAGGCCGGGCCAGGAAAAGGGGGCAACTCTCTATTAAGAGTACATATTTAAGAGGCTGTAGTAACCAGCGTTCTGCACATACTCATTACCTGAAGCACAGTTTTACTGTGCATTGTGCGCCATTACTGTGCATTGTGCAGCATTACTGTGCATTGTGCAGCATTACTGTGCATTGTGCAGCATTACTGTGCATTGTGCAACATTACTGTGCATTGTGCGGCATTACTGTGCATTGTGCAGCATTACTGTGCATTGTGCAGCATTACTGTGCATTGTGCAACATTACTGTGCATTGTGCGGCATTACTGTGCATTGTGCAGCATTACTGTGCATTGTGCAGCATTACTGTGCATTGTGCAGCATTACTGTGCATTGTGCAGCATTACTGTGCATTGTGCAACATTACTGTGCATTGTGCGGCATTACTGTGCATTGTGCAGCATTACTGTGCATTGTGCAGCATTACTGTGCATTGTGCAACATTACTGTGCATTGTGCGGCATTACTGTGCATTGTGCAGCATTACTGTGCATTGTGCAGCATTACTGTGCATTGTGCAGCATTACTGTGCATTGTGCAACATTACTGTGCATTGTGCGGCATTACTGTGCATTGTGCGGCATTACTGTGCATTGTGCAGCATTACTGTGCATTGTGCAGCATTACTGTGCATTGTGCAACATTACTGTGCATTGTGCAGCATTACTGTGCATTGTGCAGCATTACTGTGCATTGTGCAGCATTACTGTGCATTGTGCAACATTACTGTGCATTGTGCGGCATTACTGTGCATTGTGCAGCATTACTGTGCATTGTGCAGCATTACTGTGCATTGTGCAACATTACTGTGCATTGTGCAACATTACTGTGCATTGTGCGGCATTACTGTGCATTGTGCAGCATTACTGTGCATTGTGCAGCATTACTGTGCATTGTGCAGCATTACTGTGCATTGTGCAGCATTACTGTGCATTGTGCAGCATTACTGTGCATTGTGCAGCATTACTGTGCATTGTGCAGCATTCTGTGCATTGTGCAGCATTACTGTGCATTGTGCAGCATTACTGTGCATTGTGCAACTGTGCTGGCCAATTTCCAGGGCAGTACACAAATAAATATCTGACTGAAGTATGATGGGTGATTATTGGAGAGCTAATTTCCGGAAGATGGACAAAAGCAGTGTGTGTAACGTGCATTGCCTCCCTTCCGGTAGTGTATGAATGATCTATTATTATTACCATGTGTGGGGGAGGGGGCGGGAAGGAGACGGAGGCGGAGGCGGAGGAGGCGGAGGGGGCGTGGGGCGGGGAGGAGGGGGTTTCTGGAAACATTTAATTGAAACGATATAATGATAATATGCTTCATCGCCATGTACACGGTACAGTTACTAGATACAACGCATTTGTACTCTTTAGGGACCTGTTCAACACTTAGCTTAGAAACTAGACACTCTGTCCAAAAGTATTATAATGTATGAAAAGTTTCCACATAATATAATAATGCATTTAAAAAGTTATTAATAATTTGTATCTTGACCCTATTACCCATCTCTTAAACCAAACAATGAGTAGCCATGGAGTGGCAACATATTAAACACAACCTCATACAATGTAAAATAATACACACCTTTACTCCTGATATCTAACCTTTACTCCTGATATCTAACCTTTACTCCTGATATCTAACCTTTACTCCTGATATCTAACCTTTACTCCTGATATCTAAATTTAACTTTATTCTATGATCATTTGTTGCTGTACTCGGTGAAATTTGAAAAGTATTTAATAAACATATTAAATAACAGCTCCTACCCCGGCCCCAGACCACGTGACTAACTGCTCCTACCCCCAGACCACGTGACTACCTGCTCCTAACCCCCAGACCACGTGACTAACTGCTCCTAACCCTCAGACCACGTGACTAACTGCTCCTACCACCAGACCACGTGACTAACTGCTCCTAACCCCATGACCACGTGACTAACTGCTCCTACCCCGGCCCCAGACCACGTGACTAACTGCTCCTACCCCCAGACCACGTGACTACCTGCTCCTAACCCCCAGACCACGTGACTAACTGCTCCTAACCCCCAGACCACGTGACTAACTGCTCCTAACCCCCAGACCACGTGACTAACTGCTCCTAACCCCCAGACCACGTGACTAACTGCTCCTAACCCCCAGACCACGTGACTAACTGCTCCTAACCCCCAGACCACGTCCTACCCCCAGACCACGTGACTAACTGCTCCTAACCCCCAGACCACGTGACTAACAGCTCCTAACCCCCAGACCACGTGACTAACTGATCCTAACCCCCAGACCACGTGACTAACTGCTCCTACCCCCAGACCACGTGACTAACTTCTCCTACCCCCAGACCACGTGACTAACAGCTTCTACCCCCCAGACCACGTGACTAACAGCTCCTAACCCCAGACCACGTGACTAACTGCTCCTAACCCCAGACCACGTGACTAACTGCTCCTACCCCCAGACCACGTGACTAACAGCTCCTAACCCCCAGACCACGTGACTAACTGCTCCTAACCCCCAGACCACGTGACTAACAGCTCCTACCCCCAGACCACGTGACTAACTGCTCCTAACCCCAGACCACGTGACTAACTGCTCTTAACCCCCAGACCACGTGACTAACTGCTCCTACCCCCAGACCACGTGACTAACTGCTCCTACCCCCCAGACCACGTGACCCCGAGCCGGCTGTAGACGAGCTAGTACAGATAGAGGGAGGGAGTAGTGGGAGGGAGGGGACAGAGAGTCCCCCTCCTCCTGATGATAGAGACGAGCTCATCCAGCAGCTTCTTAGAGAGGTGGGTGGGAGAGCATCCAGGCTACTGTCTGTGTGTATGTTTGTGTGTTTGTTTGTTTGTGTGTTTGTGTGTGTTTGTGTGTTTGTTTGTGTGTTTGTTTGTTTGTTTGTTTGTTTGTTTGTTTGTTTGTTTGTTTGTTTGTTTGTTTGTTTGTTTGTTTGTTTGTTTGTTTGTTTGTTTGTTTGTTTGTTTGTTTGTTTGTTTGTTTGTTTGTTTGTTTGTTTGTTTGTTTGTTTGTTTGTTTGTTTGTTTGTTTGTTTGTTTGTTTGTTTGTTTGTTTGTTTGTTTGTTTGTTTGTTTGTTTGTTTGTTTGTTTGCAGTTTATTGTCAACATTTGTTAGTGGTTTCCGGTTTTCTCGTGTGTTCTTCTAAATTTTGTGGCTTAAAGTTTTATGATTCAAGCATTGTCATCCTCTTCATAAACTATGCTGATATAAAATATGATGTCATCGCTGTCTGATAGCGTGCCAAATTAGAAGAAAAAAAACTCTGTCATAAGCTATAATATACAGCCTGTAATATGCAACTCTAATAAAGAAATCGTATGTCACTCAAAGAAACCCTTCTGAAAGTATATCTAAGTTTATTTTTCCCGCCAACTCAACTAGACTAAATCTACATTTAGTGCTCTAATCTCAGTTCGTAGCTATCACGTGATCCAGGCTAAAACCATGACATATTATTACAAGATTACACCTGACAGTCACCAGAACACTAATAGTCACATCTACAGGAGACCACTGAGTAGCTTACACATTGTACCTCTCAATCTCTTACTTTCATCAAACAGAGAGGCGGACAAAAGAGCTGGCCATACAGACAGGCGACCTGGTTAACTGTGACCGCTGGATTAATTAATTGACCGCTTTTGTTCGGGGTTAATTGACCGCTTTTGTCCTGAAGAAGACAATACAGAAGTGTAGATCTGGATACTTGTGAAGGGGTAGACCGTAGTGTATGCACGTGTGGCTCTGGCCTGGGGTTTTAATGCTCAATACTGGAAGCTGATTGGTTAATCAGATAATATATTAGTTTTAAACTAATTACAATACTACAAATCTATTACATGTATTGAGGACGTTACAGAAGGAATATATATTTAATGTAGTTTGAGGAGTTCTCACTCTCCTCACGTCCGACACTGGCGTTTCTCTTATCGCTAATATGGTACACTATGGTACACTATGGTACACTATGGTACACCTAGCCTCCCCACCAATATCCAGGTCTCTTTTGTTCCGAAGAGGTTCAATAAATGCCACAAGGCCGAGTAAAGGGTGACCACAATTCAGAACTATTGTATTTGTATCTTGTTAACCCTGCCCTGGATTACAAATATAGCTTGCTGTCAAAACATGTCAATGTAACTGTAGTTACAATATAGAGTGTATGTGTTGAGGAGTCCTCACTCAGTGATGATATGACAAGCAAACTAATAAGTACATGACATGTTATTAAGTACTAGTATAAGAATAAGGTGGTCAGTGACTGGTCACGTGACATGTTTATGAGAGAATAAGGTGGTCAGTGACTGGTCACGTGACATGTTTATGAAAGAATAAGGTGGTCAGTGACTGGTCACGTGACATGTTTATGAGAGAATAAGGTGGTCAGTGACTGGTCACGTGACATGTTTATGAGAGAATAAGGTGGTCAGTGACTGGTCACGTGACATGTTTATGAGAATATGGTGGTCAGTGACTGGTCACGTGACATGTTTATGAGAGAATAAGGTGGTCAGTGACTGGCCACGTGACATGTTTATGAGAATAAGGTGGTCAGTGACTGGTCACGTGACATGTTTATGAGAGAATAAGGTGGTCAGTGACTGGTCACGTGACATGTTTATGAGAGAATAAGGTGGTCAGTGACTGGTCACGTGACATGTTTATGAGAGAATAAGGTGGTCAGTGACTGGTCACGTGACATGTTTATGAGAGAATAAGGTGGTCAGTGACTGGTCACGTGACATGTTTATGAGAGAATAAGGTGGTCAGTGACTGGTCACGTGACATGTTTATGAGAGAATATGGTGGTCAGTGACTGGTCACGTGACATGTTTATGAGAGAATAAGGTGGTCAGTGACTGGTCACGTGACATGTTTATGAGAGAATAAGGTGGTCAGTGACTGGTCACGTGACATGTTTATGAGAGAATAAGGTGGTCAGTGACTGGTCACGTGACATGTTTATGAGAATAAGGTGGTCAGTGACTGGTCACGTGACATGTTTATGAGAGAATAAGGTGGTCAGTGACTAGTCACGTGACATGTTTATGAGAGAATAAGGTGGTCAGTGACTGGTCACGTGACATGTTTATGAGAGAATAAGGTGGTCAGTGACTGGTCACGTGACATGTTTATGAGAATAAGGTGCTCAGTGACTGGTCACGTGACATGTTTATGAGAGAATAAGGTGGTCAGTGACTGGTCACGTGACATGTTTATGAGAGAATAATGTGGTCAGTGACTGGTCACGTGAAATGTTTATGAGAGAATAAGATGGTCAGTGACTGGTCACGTGACATGTTTATGAGAGAATAAGGTGGTCAGTGACTGGTCACGTGACATGTTTATGAGAGAATAAGGTGGTCAGTGACTGGTCACGTGACATGTTTATGAGAATAAGGTGGTCAGTGACTGGTCACGTGACATGTTTATGAGAGAATAATGTGGTCAGTGACTGGTCACGTGACATGTTTATGAGAATAAGGTGGTCAGTGACTGGTCACGTGACATGTTTATGAGAGAATAAGGCGGTCAGTGACTAGTCACGTGACATGTTTATGAGAGAATAAGGCGGTCAGTGACTGGTCACGTGACATGTTTATGAGAGAATAAGGCGGTCAGTGACTGGTCACGTGACATGTTTATGAGAGAATAAGGTGGTCAGCGACTGGTCACGTGACATGTTTATGAGAATAAGGTGGTCAGTGACTGGTCACGTGACATGTTTATGAGAATAAGGTGGTCAGTGACTGGTCACGTGACATGTTTATGAGAGAATAAGGCGGTCAGTGACTGGTCACGTGACATGTTTATGAGAGAATAAGGTGGTCAGTGACTGGTCACGTGACATGTTTATGAGAGAATAAGGTGGTCAGTGACTGGTCACGTGACATGTTTATGAGAATAAGGTGGTCAGTGACTGGTCACGTGACATGTTTATGAGAGAATAAGGCGGTCAGTGACTGGTCACGTGACATGTTTATGAGAGAATAAGGTGGTCAGTGACTGGTCACGTGACATGTTTATGAGAATAAGGTGGTCAGTGACTGGTCACGTGACATGTTTATGAGAGAATAATGTGGTCAGTGACTGGTCACGTGACATGTTTATGAGAGAATAAGGCGGTCAGTGACTAGTCACGTGACATGTTTATGAGAATAAGGTGGTCAGTGACTGGTCACGTGACATGTTTATGAGAGAATAATGTGGTCAGTGACTGGTCACGTGACATGTTTATGAGAGAATAAGGTGGTCAGTGACTGGTCACGTGACATGTTTATGAGAGAATAATGTGGTCAGTGACTGGTCACGTGAAATGTTTATGAGAGAATAAGATGGTCAGTGACTGGTCACGTGACATGTTTATGAGAGAATAAGGTGGTCAGTGACTGGTCACGTGACATGTTTATGAGAGAATAAGGTGGTCAGTGACTGGTCACGTGACATGTTTATGAGAATAATGTGGTCAGTGACTGGTCACGTGACATGTTTATGAGAGAATAAGGTGGTCAGTGACTGGTCACGTGACATGTTTATGAGAGAATAAGGCGGTCAGTGACTGGTCACGTGACATGTTTATGAGAGAATAAGGCGGTCAGTGACTGGTCACGTGACATGTTTATGAGAGAATAATGTGGTCAGTGACTGGTCACGTGACATGTTTATGAGAATATGGTGGTCAGTGACTGGTCACGTGACATGTTTATGAGAGAATAAGGTGGTCAGTGACTGGTCACGTGACATGTTTATGAGAGAATAAGGTGGTCAGTGACTG